CAGCTATCTTTCAAACTGCTCCTATTTTATCTTAAGTAATTTAGGGAGGCATGAGCTTGATTTTGACACTTTGTTTGAGACCCCTGGCTGTAGAGCATTGGTTTGAAATTGTTGTCTATTAGGTAATTAATATATTCAGTTCAGTTAACCTTTATTGGCATAAAAATTAATATGTAAGAAGGCTAGTACAGTAAAATATTTAATTACATATTTATGGAACAAGAGGCTCATTCCATCTGCTCTAGATGAGATACCCTAAACTATAATTTAAAATAAAAATAAAAATAGGAAGATGAGACACAAACTAGGGATCCAGAAGAAAAGCAAATTAGACCAAAAAATAGGATAGTGGGAGACAAACGTAAGGTGGGGATGGAGACATGAAGGCCTGGAAAACAACCAGTTTTCTACATAGCAAAAAGGAAGGGAGAAAGATAAAGAGACTCCACCTACAAGATTACATGAGAAAGGAGTCACAGGTTTCTGCTGGCTCTCTCATGGTTCCCCAACCCTGACCAAGGAAAACAGCTGCTTATCACTGCCTGGGTGACAAAACATTACCACTGGCCAGCATTTAGGTTGACCCAGTTTCAACCCAATTTGATCCCAATGTCCACTGAGTTCCACCCTATAGAACATGACTGATTTTTCTGGATCAAGTGGCACCTCTCTTCTTCTTTATTATTGACTGGCCCAGGAGAATACAAAGCACATGTTCACAGTCTATGTTTTATTTATTTTTTTCAATGTATGTTTGCAAAACCATTGCATAGCCTTCTCTCTCAATCAATCAAATGACAATCTCTCTTGCCTTTCCATCAGCAATTTGCCCAAAGAACTACTGTTATTCCCAGGTTACCATGCATTTTGCAATACAAATGTCACATCAGCTCACAGACATGAGTGACGACAAAAGCTAAAGGCTTACTTTCAAAACAAATGGAATGAGAAAGAGGGAATTTGTTTCTACGACCACAATCTCACTTTGCTAATCAACTCGAAACATCTGTGAACTAGAAGGTGTTAAGTAAAACAGGCTTAGCTACAGACTCCAGCTCATTGTCATAGCCACATATTTTTTAAAGACAGACTGGAGTATTTACAGATACTGATCAAGGGTAAATTCTACTGACAGATTTATATGGAACTAGATTGGTATAAAACATAGCACAAGGAATAAAAATATCAACCTGAACATGACACCGTCAAACGGGCTAATTTCCCCAGATGCCTTGTATTGAGCTTGCTGAATTCAGGGTGGTCAAGGAAGCCATACACAAGTCGAACGCAAGGCCTCAAAGATTTGTCCGTGGGTATGAGTAAAAACAGTTACTTAGTAGTGGAAGAAATAATTCTGCTAGTCAACTCTGAAACTGATCAGCTCAGAATATCATCTACATTTGTTCAATTCTGACACCACAACAAGCTATAGGAAGATAAAACTATGGTTCAGCATGATGTCTGAACTGACAAACCATGGTTAGTGAATAGTTTGCAAACTTGACTTGCCGTAACGATCATTTGCTGGGATGTACAAATTGGTAAACCAGTTATATGTTGTCACCCCATGTCCGGAGGCATTTATACTACAGAACTACGAACCATGAGCAAATGGAAAATGAAAGCAGTCATGCAGTTCTAAATCAGGTTTTTTATGTCTGAAGGCTCAACCATGGGGTTCCTACATTACAGTAATTGCAAACTACAGTTTGGCCAGTTTGATGCTTGAACTGAGTCACTACTATTAAAAAGAAGAAGAAAAACTTTCATCTAGAGATTGAAAATCACTTCTAAAATCTGGGTCCAAGAAGTCTGAATCCATGGGCAGGTCAAATATACACAAAGCAAATCTGCTCATGGGAAACCTCATTTAAAAACTGTCTTTCAAATCAGATGGCATAAAGTCTGGGAGAATCTTATTCTAATCCAAGTCCACATCCATTAAAATATCTACATTCAAAGTTCTATCCCTTTGAAATCAAAATTCAGACCTGGTCTTCCTTTGTCAAAAGCCCTGCACAGAAGTATGCTATACTTCAAACTTCATTACATCAGCTGTGTTTCCTAAGGAAGTTCGACAGGACATGACCAATTTGAAAGTGCTGAAAAAATGTTCAATACCATTGATTGTCTGAATTGTATAGCGTATTTCTTGTGAAGTGATGGTTAATCTCTTGCATATTCTGAAAGCTATTGTTGAAGATATGCTTAATGTGTAGCTCCTAGGTAATGCATTACTCTACAAAATGATGAATATTGAGATGGAATCTGACATCTTCTTTCACTATATTGTAATTTTGTACAACTCTAATTTTCTAATGTTTTATGGATTGGATCCAGATTAGACATTTCTGCAAGCGCAATAATTTCTGCTCACATTTCTCCCCTACCAGTCTGAATTGCCCCCAAAATCCCGTTCTTGGAGAAGTGTGGATTTCCTGGGCATTTTCATGGGATTTGTGGAGTGGGAGAGGAGGGGAAATCATGCTCTGTAAGCAAAAATCCTTGTGTCCATGGAATGTTAATTTGGATCCATCCCTTTGTTTGCTAAAGTAAAACAAAACAAAAACCCTTCCACGCATATAGCAAACAATTCCATTGGTATATGTTTAACATAGGTGAAAGGATTCAGATCAAGAATACAACACAAATTTCTGATTCTTAAGTTACTGAGATACATACTTTTCAGCACAGGTATAAATTGTTAGCACAAGAAACTATTTAGATTTTAAGGGGGGAAAGGGTAATGATATGTATAAAATATATGGCACATACAGTGAAAGTTTGACACAAAGTCCTAGCTGAAATTCTGGAAGCTCTCACAGAAAGGTAACTTCAGAGTTGGAGAGCAACACACTCACTCTTACTATGTAACACATAAATTAAATACTTGTGCTCAATCATAATTGTTATAAAAATAGCCACCTTCCAATCTTTGATACTGTGGTATGGTTTTCTAAATGGAAGATGGCCATTTCTCTAACAATTACAACATGATCATGTGTTGTTTACACTGAGCGCTTGTTTTGTAATACTACAATAAAAGCGCATAACAAAAAAACAAGGAGTTCTACAGCAGTATCATTTTATTATAGCTATGCCTGGTTGCTTTAAAATTGCCATTTCAGTACAGTAAGGTGAATCTGAAGCAGAAACTTTGTGAAAGGAAATACAGTGTATTGTTAAACGACATCAAAATTAATTAGAATAATCAGAATCGCCAAATTAATAGTGCTAAATGTCATAATGAAGAAATTTTCTTTCTGCCAACATACAGGAAGGTCATATAACAGGCTCTCTTTCAGGCCACAAGACATCAGTGCCAGGCAAGACTATACAAGTGTGGAGATGCCCACTACATCACAAGGGAGAGAATCTGCCCTTTTTAAAAAAACAGAAGTCAGTCCAAATAGTATGTCAACACCATGGGGAGCAAATAAAATACAGAGCCAGAATAAACATTATGATCATTAACTCCTTACTTTCTTATACTTTTAACATATGTTATGTTGGCAACTGACTTCTTCCTATTGTGTAACAAAGGTAAAGAATAAGGTGCTGGGTAACCCATCTTTACTTCTAAAAAGCCTCACCCAGCAGGACCAATGCCCTTGGCTAAATCTAGCATGTCCCACGCATTTTGCTGCCAACAGTCAATTACAGCTTTATATTATGGGGCACATTCCACAATTCTCTACAAACACCAAAGGTTCAGGTTTTAGGGGAATGATGGAAGCAATTAGTAGAGGGATTTAGAGGGCAATGAAGAATAAGAAGCCCTACTCTTTTGCAGTGGGGGGGGGAAGTGCAGCCATAAGCCCCAAAGCAGAAAGAAACTTTACCCACAGTTCTTCGGCTACAGCCCCACAGACTGAACCAACAGTGGTCACATGCAGCCCACACTTCCTCAACAGACAGCACATGGAACAATTTACAGATTACACAGCATGCGGTCTAAGTAATTTTGCTACTTGTAATGCTTCCCCATGCAATGGCCAGACCCACTCACTGCATGCTGTGGTGTGTGTAAAAGTGAACAGAACTAAACAAAAGTCATGAAAATATACCTGGCCTGGCCACAGAAGACATTTTCAAATGGCCTAGTGCCCAGAAAAAGTTATCAACCACTAAGCGTAGCTATTCAGAATATATTGTGAGCTGCCCTTTGTTCCATTCATAACATTAATTATACGTAAATTTATGCATAAGAACCTTGGGGTGCACAAATTAACATCGCTACATAGTGTTTACACACTTAAAGATTTACATGGAGCACTTTGGAATATGAAGAAAGAATAATGCCAGTCTATAGTTCTTTTCCAAGCAATAGAATAGATTCTAAAGTCTTCATACCAAGAATACAGAGCTTACTATGTTTAGTTCTGCTATTTTGTCAAATCTGGCCCCCCAGAAGTTAAGAAAATAATTGCCACCACACACTGCCTACCCAAAGCTTAATTTACAATTGTCAGAAAACTCAGAGCTCATAATCTTGTTACTTTACACCATGTTCTCACAGTTCTCGATTAAAGTTATTTCGTGTTAAAAGAAACTCAAGTCAATAGGGCTCAATGCTACCTCGTTGTAATAATTTAGCACAGGCAATAACAACTTTCCTTTCCCCTCTAAGCATTACGTTCTTGGGCCCATGAAGGAAGGGGGTGGGAGATGCTAAGAATTCACATTGTTAACAACTGGGGGGGGGAATCAAAGGGATTTAGAGACTTATTAAAAGATCAAAACGAAAACAGGCAACATGCAACTGTTACATGCGCGAAAACTTCAGAAAACAGGTAAAGCGGAACGCTTACCACTTCCTAAAAGGAACGTGTCATAGAAAGCCCTCTTAAGGAGGACTCCGACAAAAACTAGAGAAGGTCAATACAGAGAAAACATTCAGGAGACTTTTACAGTTTAAATTGAACCCAGAGAGATTTTAAAAAAAAACAATGACCACAGAATACGCATAACACATTTACAACAAGAAAGAAGAAAGGCACCTGGAGACATCTGACACTGGGCATGCTCTGCAGGCATCTCAGTGCGCACATGCTCTCTACCAGGTTGGAGCAGCCTAGCCACAAAGACCTTGGCACAGAACACTGCAGGATGACAAAAAGGAAGGAAGAGAAGAAGCAGTTAGAGGCCACAAGTTACTGAATGCAGGTAACTTATTAGTATGTTAAAAGTGGATTATGTACTTAGCAACTGGTGGAAAGCAACCAACAATATCTAACCCCACTCTTCACTGCTTAGCAAGATCATCAATCAAGGGCACAATCCTCAAAAGTGCTGCTACTGCATACATGTTTTACTTTTTAAAACTTCACGCTGGGGCTGCCTTAAAAAAAACAAAAACAAAATGCAGTAGCAGTTCTTGGTGGATTGCTCTTCAGCTAACCTAATGACTTTCATTGGCCTAACCATCTTGGGGTATTTATGAGCTCAGCAAGGAAACGAGCCCTTGAGACTGCAGCCCATAATGAACGCTAATTGGCTTGATGTGTAAAAACCTCTTCGCCGCCACTACAGTGCCCCACAAAAGTTATGTCTGGTTTCAATATGTAGGGTTATGGACTCGAACCTTACGTTTCTTACTGCCATTGTAAAATTACACATAACACAGCAGCAAATTGTTTTTACGGCAGCTCAGCACAAAGCCAATTAGCTTCTCTGCAGCTGATTCTAGTGATACATTCTGAGTTGTATATCCTTCCCCAGAAACGAAACCAGGCTGAATATGGCAAGTATTTATGAACAGCCCGTAAAGCTTCTGCTGTTATGGGCAAAAGGCACCACCCTTTAAGCCACCATGCTGGAAGTCAGACACACACACACTTAATTTTGAGGAAATACTATTAATAGGGGTTAGTCTACAACAGGCATTGAGGGTTTTAACCAGAAGGGTTAAAATTTGTAAGGCACAAACTGAAAATGAGAAACAGAGTTCAACGAAATCAAGAGGGTATATTTGATCGGCCATATAAAGTTGACCAGGCTGCATCCCTGTTAATGGGAAGAGGTTCATGAAACACACGGCATTTGGTAAGTGTTCTACCATCTCTCAACATGCTAAAACAAGATAAGTTCAGGATATATTAATTATCCACCAAAAATCAGGCACCAGAGGTTCAAAATGGATCCCTGGATTACAAATTCATCTGATCAACTTAGAAATTAATTTCAAAGTTTATTCAGCAATTTGTTAACAAGCAAGAGATAAACCTCCACTGCAGTTCTGCCCCAACCTCCCATTGAGTATTAGCGACTCACACTACACTTTAACTGTACCGCTGAAACGTAAAAATACATAAAAGTCATAAGGGCCACAATTCAGAAAGTTACTTGAAGTGTACCCCAGAACAACTGCACACGCCCAGTGGGACTTTAATTTTTTCCCCTGGCAAATGCCACCCTTTCAGAGAAGCTGCTTTTGGAACTCCCCCTAGTTTCAAAAACAGTTTGCTGTGCTGGAAGGGAGTTAAAGAGGTTACTATGAGAAACACAAGTCTCATTTCTCTGCAGCCAAAGGCAATCCATGGTGCTCACACATCTGATGGCTGAACACCAACTCTTCCTGACAGTTCCTTTTTCAGCAAACCCACACACACACACAATTGCGATACCAAATTTTAGAACATTTCAAGTTTAAAAGGCAGGCTGAAGATGCAACAAAGTGTTACGGAGGGAAATTTTACAGGACCATTGAATGTTGGGGCTGCTACTTCAGTACTAAAGCAAAAGTAAAGATCTGGCGCAGGTGGTGAACCCAAGCCTCTGAATCACTTCTTTTGAAGTGTCCAGGATAATCCTGGAGGGATAATAAAAAGACAGCTATCATGTTACTCAGAATGCATGCGTGTGCACATACGTACGCATACAGAGCTGGAAGGTTCTTAAATCGTCATGTGGGCTTCTAAAAATGCTGACTCATAGAAATAATTTCCCAGAGACGTTTATCAAGCTCACTGAAACGCTTTCGTTTGTTTGAAAATTCAATAGCTGGCTGCTTACAGACCAAAGCTCAGTGGGTGCAGCACCCGCTTTGCATGTGGAAGGTACCAGGTTCAATCCCTGGCATCTCTAACTAAAGAATCTGAGCCAGAAGGTGACAGGAAAGGGTTTGTACCTGGCACTGTAAAGAGCCACCCCTGCCAGCATAGACAACCCTGGGCTAAAGGGACCAAGAGTCCGAACCACTATGAGCCAGAGTGCTACAGAAGCCTGAACTAGCATCTGTGAGACCCAAGTTTGAGTCCACACTTCAGCTATGGAAGCTTGCTGAGTGATCTTGGGCCAGTCACACCTTTCAGCCTAACCCACATCACAGGGCTGTTGTGAGGATAAAATACAGGAAAGGAGAATGATCTAAGCCACTTTGGATCCCCATAAACTATGCTATATACATAATTATACTTCCACTTTCTATAAAAGATTCTAAAATGTCTGTAGCATTTTCATACTTAAGGCACCCCTCCACAAATTATAATCTTCTCCACTACCAAACATGGTAACTATCTACAGGAATACTTACATGGTTAAAAAAGCAAATTCCTGAATTAAATATTCAGCCATATCACTAACATTCCAAATTAACACTACAATACTAAATCATACTGTCATATTGATAGCGGCTGTTTATCAGGGACCTAAGTAAAAACAGGAAGAGGAAGAAGAGGAGGAGGAGGAGATTGGATTTATGCCCCGCCCTTCACTTAGACTCTATTATTGTAAATTGAAAATTATTGTAATTTTACTCGAGAAACTGTCTTATCTGTTGTAATGATGTGAGCCGCCCTGGGCCTGCTGTGGCGAGGAGGGCGGGATAGAAGCCAAATTGATAAATAGAAGATAGATAGGAAGATAGGAAGATAGGAAGATAGGAAGATAGATAGATAGATAGATAGATAGATAGATAGATAGATAGATAGATAGATAGATAGATAGGATGAAGCTGCCAGAAAACAAGACAGGCCTTTGGGCCATCTAACCCAGTAGCGTCTACTCTGACAGGCAGTGGCTCTTCAAGGTCACAAATGCAGAATGCAGCTCTGCTAGAAGAAACTCCCCAGGACTGAACACCCGGAACCTTCCACAAGCAGAACATGTGTTGTACCACTGACCTATGGACACCTCACAAAATGAAAGACTGAGACCAAGAAGTTACAAAGCCAGCAAATCATGCTGCCTCTAAGTACTACAATAGGGTACATAGCAAGAGGGGCAAAGGCAGTGATTTTAGCTGCTTCCCCCCCCCTTACTATTTCCCCCCACATGCAGAGTTGCCAAGAGTTCCCCAGCCGCCAGGAACAGCACTTCAGGGACCATACAGGGGCCGTAGAAGAAAAAGGAGGCAAGAAAAACCTGTTCAAAGAGCAGAGTTCCACTCACAGTCCTTTGCATCCAACCCAATGTCTTCTTTAAAGCTGTAAAGGAATAAAGTTCACTGAACCCTTAAAAGAACTGGTCTCTCAAATAATGCCCTGGCCTGGCTAGCCTGATCCCGTCAGATCTCAGAAGCTAAGCAGGGTTGGCCTTGGCTAGTGTTTGGGGGGGAGACCTCCAAGGAATATCAGGGTTGTGACGCAGAGGCAGGCAATGGCAAACCACTTGTTTTTAAAAAAATAAGTTTATTTATACGTTTTCTATTACATAAAAGGCAAACCACTTCTGAAATGTCTCTTGACTTAAAAATAAGTCTAGCTGACCACCTAGTGGTGCATAATGCTAAAGAGTTAGAACCTCTGGCTGACAGACAATCTTAGGCTCTCCTGGCTATTATACATACACTGCCATCTGATAATTAATTTCCAAATAATGGATGACATTTTAAAGGTTGATGAAACACACAGATGGCAGTTAACTTCATACCTTTGGTACAAGTCATGCTAAAAATATACTGTGAATTGTGATCCATAGTACCGTTATTTATACAGCACCAGTGAACATGGTGCTTTACAAAGCAACGTAAGTCAAACGGTCACAGTTCCATGCCCAGAGTAAATTGCAAACTATGTTTTGACACTGGGGAGGAGAGGTGAATATTAGTGATCATAAACGTCGGCTCAGTTTCTGTGGGTGGGGTAAATACTAAGCCAGAAGGGGGGGGGGAGGATATAGTGGCACCCACTTACGAGTTCTGCAAGGGAAGATCCAGCCATGGGAGTGGGGACACAGTAATGGAGAATGAGCAAGTCTAAAAGCAAGAAAACTTGACAACTCTGTGTGCAACTGAGTGAGAAAGTCTCTCTAGAACACTTACTAGTATCCCAGTCAAATAATATTTTGACTAGTAATGGAAAGACTACCACCCACCTAGGCCTCTGTAATGATTTCATGTTTAACTGTGTGTGTGTGTGTGTCTTTAAAAGTTTGGTGGCATGGCTGTGTGATAGTCTAGAGTGGTTGAAACAGGCAAGTGGTGTGATTGGTGAGTGACAGAGAGGGGGAGAGGTTTGGAAGTGATGCTGTGTGGATGATAGGTATGTCTATCAGGAGTGACAGTTAGAGGTCTGACAGTTGATGAAGACAGGGGATAAGTTAGTTCGGAAGTAGGAGAGAGAGAAGTCTAGTGTGTCATGAGAGTTAAGTTCTGTGTCTGAAAGAAAGTGACAAGCAGTTCTGTGTTGAATCAGTTATAAACTGAAGCTGAGTGTCTAGGAAACAGTAAAGATTATATGGACTTGGAGAAAAAAGTGTTACAAAGTTACCTAAGGAAAAATCCCTGTCAGTAGGGAGCAGACTGTGTGTTATACCTACTTTACTAGTTACATGGTTCTACCCTCGTATTTATGCTTTATTTAAATAAATCCTATTTCATTCAAGTATACAAGCTCTGAAAGAAATAATTCCTCAGGAAACACATAGACCCTCATGAAAGCCTAAACCCTCGACCTACCTAACCAGTAATAGAAAGAGTAACAGTATAAAGGTTTGGAAATCCTTTTAAAATTTCCTGGAGGCAGCCGGATTACCCAGTAGAACAAAACATAAAGAACACTTTTAAAGTAAAACCAGACCTCCCAGTTAAGGGGTCGTCACAGCCTCAAACAGCCCCCGGAAGAAATCACATTGAGCACAAGACAAAAAAAGTGGTTGGGTT